CAGTAAAGACATTAAATGATTAAATCTTTTCACTACCAACCAATGCACCACGAGTGCCCCTGTCGGTCATTTTGGCCAGCCAATCACTTACCGCGGTGCCCTAAGGTGCCCTGCGGTGGCTTGTGGGTAGGTTACTGTACCGCGGGTTTTTACCGCGCATTTTGAATGGCTGCATCTGTACATTACACAAACTGCAGATGACAAGTTAAGGACTTTATTAAGTTAGATTGTAAGTATAAAAATCTATAGTGTGTGTTCACAGACAAACAAAGAAATCACTCTTTTTGTTGAAGAAAAGAAACTGTAATTCACCCTCTTTAGCCTGTTTACAAATCGCAAATTCGTGACTAAAAATTTAAAAACTCTCTGAAGTGTACCTCAAAAGTCCTATAACAATAAATGCAGAGGCTTTCAAGTTAATTCTTCCCTTGCCAGTAACCATCATCAGTAACATGATAAAAAGGTAACTTAAATATTAATTATTAATTTAAAAATATCTTAATCATATGCCATTAGGCCTACTCTGTTTTTTAAATGTAAACAAGAATGTTGACACCTGAAGAAGGCTCCACGGCTGAAACGTTGTGTTTTCTTTCTTCTCTTTTCAGCAGTGCTTTTCAGTATTCCCTTTGCATCCTACGCAGCTACCCACCTGAACTACATTTAAATTTAAATGTTTTATGGTTAACCATATTGACAAAAATATATTTTTCTGTTTTATGGATGAAATCTATTACTACTTCATTATTTCCCTCATTAGTTTCCTAAAACCATAATTTAAGTACTTTTATTTCACTTAGAATTACATGTTATTAAAGATTTCTATACCATGACAAACCAGCCTGGTGCCTCTCCCTAAATGAACAGGAATCTGGCTAAAGAAGTCCGTCTGATAGGAGACATCATAGAATCAAGCTGTACATTTAGTGAGCTATAGAGCAGATGGGCTCCAGCAAGTCTCCAGGCTGGTTCATTCCCAGTACCATAAGTCAAATGTTACTATCCACCACCCAAAGGAAGATCTTCCAATACGTGATCTTTAAGGTGGATACCAGAACTAAACCTGATAGCATCTTGGCCAAGGGCCAACTGGTGATGTCCTCCCATGAAACACACTGACTTGAAAATCTCTCTCTGAACTGACCAACTGATTTTTATGACCATGTGACTGCAAGCATTCCAAGTCAGGACTTCAGCTTTTCTCCAAGAAGCCAGGAGAGTGAGTCATGAAAGTACAGAATTCTGTCCAAGATATTCTCTCTGAAACAGAATAAATTTTGTTATGAACCCAGCTATTTTTACTGGGGATCAATTAAATTAGACAGTTGTACTTTTTTTTTGTCAACATCCAGAATATTCTGAACAAAGCTATAGCATGGAACAAACTGAGTTCCCCTTTCATCTTGAAAACCTTGTGAACCTCAGGAAGACAAACTGTGCACACACTGTTATAAAGACCAAAGCCAGCAAGACACTTCTTTGGCAGAGCTGTCTGATTCCAGCACAAGGAAAAGTTCTTTCATTTCTCTAGCTGCTATGGAAACCCAGCCAACTTTTTTTCCAGCACGAAATGTAAACTCATTAAGGACGTCTGGACAATGGTTTGTTGAATTCAGCTTTATTAATCACATCATTCTTGAGAGAGCTATTACAAACACATTTGTTGTTTAATTTATGATAGTAAATATATACTTGTGTCTGAGAATATACAATAAATGAGATTTAGTTTTATGAGACAGAGCCTAGGAACTAGACTTTACCACGTTAGAGTTGATGCATATTTTAATTCTGAAGTTATTAACTCTGATCTTTTTAATCCCTGTGTCAATAAACAGCATTCATGTTCACAGCAGCTCATTGTTAACTGATACATATTCTATTGTGTAGTTGGTTGTTATGCATGTTTGCTTATATCAATAAATTGTATATTGTATATTTAGAATCCATGTGTGAGACTGTAAATTTTAAATGTTTGACTGGTTCCTGAACTCTGGCAATTTACTGTTACAATTTCTGATTGTAACAGTAAATTAAAACCCCCAGCCTTCTACAGTAACATAGTTACAACTACAGGTATTAGCCATCTTGTATTAGTTAGATTTTTGGAGTGCACTCTATGTTTGCACTATTCTCCTAGTTTCTCAGGAAACAAACATAACGAATAACAACATACGAAAGATCAGAAATGATCATTTCTGGACCACTAATAGTTCACAGCCTATTGATCCAAGTTTCCTATCAAGCCATGTCTTGAAGAAGCCAGGGTATTGGTTTCAACCAAATTTCTGGATAGCTTGTTCCATACTCCCACTACCCTTAAGGTAAAAAACATGCCTCCAGTGCTCCGTTTTAAAGGTCCTTTAGTGTAGTTTCCCCCTGTGGTTCATGTTTCGTTGTTCATTCTGAAGTCCATTGCATTGACTTCAAATCCTCAAAAGCATTGACACCTATGCTAAATCCAAATGTGCATACTGTATTTCCTGATTGCCAGCTGCCTGTAATTTGAAAATGGGGAACTTTATCAAAGCCTAACTGAAAATCTTAAAAGCCAATATTCTTATGCCTTTATTACTGGTTCTCTATCTATCCTTATTCTCCTTGACCTCAGTGCTGCTTTGGACATTGTTAATCATCTTAGTTTTTCATATTTAAACTGTGTTTGGAGTTTCTGACATTGCTCTTAAAGGGTTAAACGGTTACCTTACTGATTGCCAGCACTTTGTCTCTCTTGGGGCTTCAGTTCTGTAATTCGACTCATTACGTCTGGTGTTCCTTGGGGCTCGATACTGGGCCGTTACTATTCCACATTTACAGTGGGTATAGAAAGTCACCACTCTCTTTCAAAATGTTTACCTTTTGTTGTATGACACTCTCAAAATAAAAGCAAATTAAATTAGGCTTGTTCCTTTTTTATTTACACACAGTAACCCACATTAGCCAAATGAAAATGATTTTTTCTAAAACATTCTGAAAATTAATTAATATTACAGTAAACCGTAAAATACCTAATTTGGATAAGTGAACACTGCCCTTACAATTGCATTTGTAAACTTGCTCAGGAATAACCAATCGCCTTACAGATCATACAAAAAACTAATTGACTCCCACCTGTGATTAATTGCGGTGTTTTGATTAGTTCTGAATAAAAACTGTTTCTAGAGGATTCCACTGCTTGCAAGTGCATTTCAAAGCAAAGAATCCACTATGGAGGGGGGAAAGGTGCTTTCAGAAGAACTTAGAGATAAAGTTGTGAAAAGGCACAAATCAGGAGATGGGTTTAAAAAGATTTTTTAAAGGCTTTAAGTATCCCATGGAGCACAGTCAAGACCATCATTAAGAAGTGAAAGGCATATGGCACCACCCAGACCTTGCCTAGATCAGGTTGTCCCTCCGAACTGGATGACAGAGAAAGAAGGAGACTGATCAGAGAGGCTACCAAGAGGCAAAGACTGGTCATTGTGTGCATGTGACAACAATATCACCTTCAAGATTCTGTGGCCAAGTGGCAAAAGGTACAGTGGTCAAATGAGACCAAAATCTAACTTTTTAGCCGGAATGCAAAATGGTACGTCTGGCAAAAACCCATTGCCTCTTACTATCCAAAGAACACCATTCATACAGTAAAGCACAGTGGTGCTAGCATCCTGTTGTTGGGGGTGATTCTCTTTAGCTGGGACTGGGGCACTTGTCAGGATAGATGGGAAGATGGAGCAAAATACAAGCAAAGTCTTGAAGAAAACCAGCAGCCCTCAGCCAGGAAGTTAAAAATGGAAAGATGATTCACCTTTCAATATGACAATGACCCAAAGAACACTGCCAAAGCATTGGCATAGTCTTTGAGTGGCCTAATCAGAACCCTGAACTAAATCCCATCGAAAATCTTTGGAATGACTTGAAGAGGGCAGTCCATCAACGGTCACTATGCAGTTTGACTGAGCTTGAAAATATTCCTCCCTCTAGGTGTGCAAAATTGAAAGAGATGTATCCAAACAGACTCAAGGCTGTAATTCTAGCAAAATGTGCTTCCACCAAGTATTAACTCAGGGGGGTGTTCTCTTATCCAACCCAGTTATACTTTTTTTTTTCAGGAATTTTGCTTTTTTTTCACTTGGATGTTGCAAGTTACAATTTGTAAATGAAACTAGAAATAGTCTGATTTTATTTGTCTTCTTTTTGGGCTTCAGGGAAACATAAAGAGAATGTTTTGAAAGGGGGTAGTGACTTTCTATACCCACTATACATTTATCCATGGCCTAATTACCATTTATATGCTGATGATACTCAAATCTACTCCATAGATTTGAGGCAAATCAAGCGAACACTTATATCAATGGTAAAGTCATTTACCATTGGCCCAGGCCACTTGCCCCAGGGTCCTTGTCCTTGTCCTTGTCCTTGGCCCAGGCCACTGTACAGTACCTAGCTGCTTCAAGACGACAACCATCTTGCCAGTACCGAAAAAATCAGCCCCCACATGCCAAAACCACTACCGCCCTATTGCACTCACCCCCATCATAATGAAGTGCTTTATAAAACTACTTATTCCGCACATTAAAGCCAGCATTCCAAAAACACTGGATCCTCTCCAGTTTGCCTATCGCAGAAACCACTCCACAGAGGATGCAATCTCTATAGCTTTACACACCACACTAACCCACCTGGATAAAAGGAACACCTATACAAGAATGCTGTTCATTGACTTTAGCTCAGCATTTAACACCATCAGACCCATAAAACTTTCTACCAAACTCAGGGCTCTAAGTTTAGATACAACGCTCTGCAGCTGGATCCTTGACTTCCTCACCAGTAGACCCCAGACTGTTTTGATTGGCAACCTCACCTCCAACACACTCACCCTTAACACCGGTGCCCCTCAAGGCTGTGTGCTCAGCCACCTGCTTTACTCCCTGCTCACCCACGACTGTACTGCTAAGTTCAGCACAAACACCATCATCAAGTATGCTGATGATACCACAGTCGTATGCCTGATCACTGACAACGATGAGACTGCCTACAGGGAGGAGATAAAACAACTTGCAGACTGGTGCCGAACCAACAACCTATGTCTCAACATCAGCAAAACCAAAGAGCTGATTGTTGACTTCATAAGACAAGGAAAAGTTCACTCCCCCATCTACATAGAAGGGTCTAAGGTGGAGATGGTGAATAACTTCAAATTCCTAGGTGTTCACATCTCTAAGGACCTTACATGGACACTGAACACCTCCAGTCTCATCAAGAAAGCACAACAGCGGCTGTACTTCCTGAGAAGGCTGAAGAAAATACACCTACATCCACTGATCCTCACCAACTTCTACAGATGTACGGTGGAGATCATACTGACCAGCTGCATCACAGTCTGGTATGGCAACTGCACCGCATCCGACCGTAAGGCACTACAGCGGGTGGTCAAAACTGCCCATCATCGGCAGTGCCTTACAATCCATCCAGGAAATATACAACAGAAGTCTGAAAAAAGCCACCAAAATTATGTCTGACCCCACTCACCCCAGTCATAACTTGTTTGTTCCCCTACCATCTGGCAGAAGGTTCCGGTCACTCCAGTCGCACACAACTAGACTCCAAAATAGCTTCTTCCCCAGAGCTGTCAAGTTGGTGACGCCCCCACTCCCTCCCACCATATTATGATCTCTCCTAACGTCTTCCTGTACCCACAACGACTGTACTCCAACACCACCACACACACATGTAAGCCGAAATTGTACTGTCCCCTCGATAGCCCAGTAAAACTGTAACAGGCATAATAATATTTAATATTTTTTAATGAACCATACTATTTTTAACCATACTATTTTTGCACTGTTCCAAGAATTACCTTGCTCTGTTTTTGTTTGTCGAATTTTGCACAGTTTTGATTACTTGATTACATGTTATTTATGTTATGTTATTACATGTTACTGTTATTGCTATTGTGTAACTGTCTATTGTCTTATCAGCTGTCCTATTTATATATTGCACCTGAGTGACTAATGAGAAACACTTTTCATTATACTATGCACCTGTGTAAGTTTAATGACAATAAAGTTGAATTGAATAAAGTCATTTGAACTAATTTAGGACCAGTGTTTAAGACCAGGTGTGGTGCAGTGGTGAGCATTGCTGCCCCCCATTACTTCCATACTAAACCTGACACTTAAATGGCTGTCTCTCCATTGTTTCATTGCATCTCTGCTATAAATAACTGGATGACTCACAGTTTCCTTTATTTAAACTGCTGCGAGATTGTACTTCAATTTCAATCTAAAGTGAAGAATTTGGGGTTGATATTTGATCTAGGCTTGATGTGTGACTCACATTTGCAAAAAAAAATTGTGTCCTGGAGTCCTTTCACTGGCTTCCAACCAGGTTTCATAATGACTTCAAAATCATCATGCTCACCTAAATTGCTGTACATGGCTTGGTACCTTAGTACAGTACCTATCTGACTTATTATTGTTCTACTCCCCACCTCACAACTTTTGTTTGTTTAGTTCTGGTCTTCTGTCTACCACCTCGAGGTCCGTCTACATACAGTACTATGGGTGACTAGCCTTTCTTTTGCTAATCCCCAAAGCTCAAAATTTTATTTAAATTGGTTCTACTGTATGTCTGTCCCTTTGATTTCCTACTGTATTGCAAATTCTTATTGCAATTGTGTAATTCTGCTGTCTCCTCTCATTGTGTGCTTTTTCTGTCATCTAAACCACTTTGAGAAGCCAGTTTTAACAGTGCTATATACAATAGTTTATCATCAGTTTTAAATGTATTTATTGATTTCCTGTAAAACTCTTTGTGAAGATACTTTAAAAGGTGCTTTATAAAATGAAGTTGTTGTTTTTATAAAATCAAAATACACTATATGCATCTATTCCTACTGTTGCTTGCTAAAAAAAACTCTTTAAGTTGGTTAGCTACCTAAATCATGGCAGAGCCAATCCGAGGACCTTATTAAAACATTCAAACAGTAGTTGTGACAGATGGGGAGTATAAAGGGCAGCTTCATCTTGTGCAGCTGAATGCAGCTAGTCCTTTTAAGAAGTTGGACGCCGACCATGCAGAGCAGAGTAACTAGTTAGCATGCCAAAATACAGATTTTTAACATACTGTACATCTGTCGCCACTCCTCTTCCATACCCATTGTAGACGAAGTCTACACTAGCAGCATGTCAGTGCAGCAAAGCACTAAATTCTGAGTCATGATCTGTTCTCTTTAAAGTTCAAATCATAAAATGCTGACTTCTTTAATAGAATTTCTACTGGAACTGTGCCTCAATAGAACCTGGAGTCTCAATAGTTTCAAATTGTGAGTTGCCGGAGCTCAAAAGCTCCATCATAAATTAAGCGTACTTGATACCTGCCAGAACTACACTCCAGAACAACTGCAGTGCTTCCTAGACAAGCTCTTCACCATTTATGCTCTGTTTTGCTCCTCTCCATACTGTCAGTAGTCAAACTCTAAGGAAATGTTATGACACAAAGAAAAACTCCATAACTCTAATAAAACATCTCAATAAGGTTTAAATGAAAACTGAAAATGTCTCTTAAGACTTTTCAGTTTTTGGATAAAATCTCAAAAACATTGTATTAAAAAGTATTTTTGAGGGTGTCTATAGCATGTATACATATATAGACAATATAGAAACGGTGAAGCCCAGACAAAAGTTTAATCCTTCTGTAGTTGGATGGTTGTTGCCATTCATTTCAGTGCATTCACTAGAAAAATAACTAGAACAAGAAAAATAACTAGAACTAGAAAAATAGAAAATCAAAAATCTTTTAGAACCTGTCTTTTGTTTTTGATAAAATCAGACTATAACAGTGCCTTATATTTCACAAACAAGATAATGATATGTTTTATATAATTTGTTGTAGAAGTCCTTGTAGGAAGCTCGTTTGTCTAAATAGGCTTCTGGTAGAAAATGACTTTTTGAAACTTTTTACTGACTCATTAAACTTAAGTTTTTAATATAAAACACCATACATGTGACAACTGTTTGTGAGAGCGTTATTTGAGGTGTGTGACAACCATATTTTCTGTATGACACTTAAAACTCAATAGAGGACAAATTGAATCGCACTAAAAGTGATTCAAGTGTGTGTTATAAAAAAGGAGAATCCAGAGTTTTCTGCTGTCTGTTAAAAGTAGGTACAGAAAAATCTTTGGTCCATAAGATCTTTAATAGAGCTAACATTGAACTGTACATTGTACATTGGAAGTATGTGTGATTTGAAATTTGTTTTGGTTTTGAATGTGGAATGCTCTGATAATTGTAGGTGTCTTTTTGTGAACAAATTTTAATGTGGACACACTGTATTTAGTGTAACGCATGAGAGAATATTTAGAAGATGCTGTGTGTACTTTAACACGAATGTACAAGTTTAATGTCTAGTATGTGTGTTGATAATTGTAATGATATCAGAATGTTATCCCATGTTTGTTTTTGCAGTGTACCCACAATGTCTGACTTGGAAGGCCTAATGGAACGTCTAGAAAAAGCTGTGATACGACTTGAAAGTGTGTCATCCAAGCTACAAAGATCACCTTTAACCGAGGATAACATTGTGAATGGGCTTAATGGAGGTAGTGTATAATGATCATGAGCATACTGTCACAATACAATAAGAGAACCCTGTGCGTGGTAATATCTATTTGGTCACAGAAGGTGTATTCTGATGAGTCCTTGAACAAGTTCTAGCTTCATAGCTTAATTTACGCTTAAGCCGTCTGATTCTGTATTAATGTTTAGCATACAAATGTGTTCACAGTGTCTCAAAATTAAGGTTTTTCTGTATTCTCTATTTGTGATGTGATCTTTACAAAAATATTGTAGCTCTTTTGTTTCCAAATTGGATTCAGATTTTCAAACCCTGGTGCATCATCTCTCTTCCATGATTAGTGTTAGTGCAGCAGAGGGGAGTATCACAATATTAATTTCTGTCAAGCTATACTAATTGAAGCACTTTATTATAAAATACCAACCATAGTAGGCTTTTGAGATTTCTTAAAATATTTATCCCTTATTGCAGGGTTTAAAACTTTATCTGAAATGTTACCTCCAATTTAAATGAAAATTAAGCTTATTGGTTTCCTAGTTCCAATATATAAGCAATTGTACAGTCAGAGAATCCTGAAGACGTCACTGAAAATTAAAACTGTGTTTTTCAGACCTGGAAAATGTCCTACCAAATTACAGATTCGTCAAAATAATTTATTTTTACTAATGTGTATTTAAAAAATTTCACTATATAGTTTTTTTAGGATTAAAAATATAGAGGGGTGCAAATGTTATCTCTTAATCAGGGAGATCTACAATGTTGTGTTGGTGAGTTGTCATACCTTTGTAATTATGTAGTCATTTTTGCTATGTAAATTGGCTAAATTGCTGAAAAACAAAAAAAAGATTAGGAAAATTAATTGGGTATGTGTGGTAGTGTGTGATTGTTTGAAACCACAATTTATACATGCCCAGGCACAGATTAATAAAATGTGTGACTGATGTTGGTTTGTGCTTCTATACACCATGAAAAAGACAAGATAATGCAAAGAGTGTGGCTAAGTGACATGCAGTGAGGCTGATTGAATACTCCAGTGCTTGACTGAGTTAGTGAATAAGGATTGGTAAATTGGGCGACACTGTGGGGAATACTGAAATGCCTGGTGATTAATGAAGAGGCAGATTTAAAAGGACATTGAAGAGGTGATGGAAAGATCTAATAAGTATGATGAGCATGTGCAATATAAATAACAAGTAAAACCTAGTATCCTGGAGGAGTCCCAATAGAAGAATGACATACCTCTTAATACCCAAAAAAAACAAAAAACATATGGGACATACATAGGCAGGGTTGTTTGCTTGGTTTTGTGCTGCATTAACTTCCATGGACTTAAAATCCGTTAAATTGTACCTTTTAATGGCCAGTGGTCATAGTGAGAACTGCTCTAAGTAGCAGAAAGCTGTTGACAACAGCAGACTGCAATGTAAGTTTTACAATAAAAATTTAGTAATTTCCAGAATGTTATAAAGTGGTATTCATGTAAAATCTGAAAAAAGACAACAGCAGTGACTTACAAAGGACAGCTGCATGGAGATTTGAATTTCAGATTTTGTCTGGCATCTTCATTTGAAAGACAGTAAAACAAGTTTAACAACATTGTTCTCAACAAGTTTGAGAACATTGCCTCCCTGCCTTACAAATAATAACAATTCAAACAGGATGAAGCAGAGCAGTGCTAATTTTCTTGCTTCTTGTGTAATGCAATGGGGTTCAGTGAGATGAGAATATAAAAGTTATGCTGTGGATGCCATACTTAAATCCCTGACATTTATACAGACCTCCTTCTATATAAAAAAAAAGTTATATTTTTTGTCTACCTCCAGCTTCTGCTAGCTTCGGTTCTCTATTCTCCTTCATGATTAGCACACATACCTGTTAACAATAAACACTATTGAGCCTGAATTTCTGCTTTCCTGTCCCCCTTTTCTTACTCACACATGCAGCTAGAAAGATAAGGGAGATTGCTGCAATATCATGAACTGAAATTCTTTATATACAGGTACATGCGATAGCTAAGAAATGGTGACTTCTACCTTATATAAGATTCAGGTCAGGTAAAAACTTGCAGAACAGAACCCTTACTTAACACAGAGTGTGTGTATAGTTCAAAATGAAAAGTCTGTGAGAACCTGTATGGGAAATCTTAACTAAATTCCACATTATTAAATCCGTTCTTTATCACTTGCTACCTCAATGTTAGAATTATAACTATTCCACAATAAAGCTAAGAGGTCTGGTTTTCCTTCTCTGTGTAACCAAAAAGATCTTCTACTTCACAGGTGTGCCACCCTCTTTAGAGGCCTTTGACATTCTACTGACCAGTGTTGTGACCAGGTATCTCAAGAACAGTAGGGACATAGGAGAAGATGTGGAGAAACATGTGAGTACTTCTGGTCAGCATGTTTTATCAAGCAGCATATTGAACAAATTATATAAAATATTGTAGCTCCTTTGTTTCCAAATCGGTTCAAATTTTCAAGCCCTGGTGCATCATGTGTCTTCCATGATAAGTGTTAGTGGAGCTATTTACAAAATACAAGAATGACAAATTCCTGAATAATATTACTTAGTTGAAATTCAGATTATATTTAAAACAGGACATTTTTAAACTTTTATGAAGGTTAAGACTTTTCTTTTCCTTCATAGCACATTTTTAGTGAACAAACAATATATGTTCCTGGATGTAGATAAGATTAACAAGTTAAATCTGATAATGCAGTAATTGACAATCACTGTTCTTTTTCTCCTTTGGCAAAATGTATGTTTTAAATAGCTTCTCAGTTTGATTGAGGATCAGTATTCACTTCAGGGGGGATATTAAAAGACAGCTGGTCATTTAGTTCAAAGTCTTATTTAAGTTGATGTGTGCAAAGAAAGCCCAACAACTGCAGCCAACCCAAAATAATTGAACAAAGGGCTTCTTTAAATACGTATGGTCACATTTGATAAAGCTCTGAGCTTTCTGCAGCTGCTATCATGTGTGCATTTATATAGCAGCTATATTCAGTTCTTATACTAAAACTCAACACCTGTTGAAAAGAAAACTTTTTTGGAGGCTCCACAGGGAAAAAAACAGTTCAGTAGCTTGCAAAAAGACAGAACATTCTTTTAATTACAACTACATTTGGACCTTTAGGGGAAAATACTACTAAATCTGATTTAAAAACTACTGTGTAAAAGCCCCTTTAAAAATAATTTTAATGATCCTAGGAAAACTAGTACACTCATTTCTTAGTACACAGTGTCCTTCACTTTCTAATTTACTCTATACAAAGTGCAGATTTGAAGAGTAATTTATGAAGCAGCTGAACAATATCTTAAAATTGTAATTATTAATAAACATATTAAAGTTCTTATGTAATCTTATGATGATTTCTGCAGGTTTCTTCCTATGATAGCTGTTGATTGAACTGATTTATTTTTGAAAAATATGCGGTCTAGGAAACCAATTTCTCACAAGGCCTTCCAAAGTGACCCCTTCACAGAATGCTTCTGTAATTGATAGTTAAAATTATAGCCTTTTTATAGCCTAAAAATAGCCTTTTTATTTTTAGTGTGTGTGTGTGATTTATTGTCTTATTGGGCACTACAGTTTCTTAGAATTAGAATTCAAAATCAAAATAAGCTACAACTGCATAATTTAAGGACTTGTTTTACAGTGCCCTCCAGAATTATTTTCACCCTTTCTGAAGATGAGCAAAAAAGGCTATGAAAAAATGTATTTTTTGTTTATCAGCTTGATTTTACACTGAAAATAGGAGAGAAATCTAACCTTTCAGTGAGGTAAAAATATTCAAAGGGAAAAAAAAACATTTTTCTCAAAAACACAGGTGTCACAATTATTGGCACCCCTAGAAATTCCTATGAACAAAATCTAATTCATATTTTACCTTTTGTAAGCACACCTGAGTCTTTAGGAACTCTTAAGTGGTCATCCATGACTTCGTGTTTCACTGGGGTATAAATATGAAGTATCATGCAGGCCAAACACTGTAAGTCATCCATCAACATAGGGAAGACCAGAGAATGCAAAAATGATCTTCATAAATCAGGCAATGGCTATATAAATAGCTTCACACCTAAAAATACCCATCACCACTATAAGGACAATAATTAAAAAGTTTTAAACAACTGGAGCTGTGATGAACCTGCCTGGAAGAGGACACAAGTGTATTTTGCCCCCACGCACAGTGAGGAAGATGGTCCAAGAGGCAAAACTTTCTTCAAGGATAACAGTTGGACAATTGCATGAGTTGGTTGCATCTTGGGGTCACCAAGTCTCCAAAACTACAATTAAACACCACCTCCATGCCAACAAACTATTTGGAAAGCTTGCCAGAAGAAAGCCTCTACTGTCATCAAACCACAAACATGAGCACCTGGAGTTCGCTAAAGATCACTGGAACTTTGATTGGAACCAGGTTCTGTGGTCAGATGAGACAAAAATATATATTTTTGGCAACAAACACCAGAGGTGGGTTTGGCATAAAAAGAGTCAAGGTCATGCAGAAAAGAACCTAATACCCAATGTTAAGTATGGTGGTGGATCTGTGATGTTGTGCGGCTGTTTCTTCCAAAGGCCCTGGGAATCTTGTTAGGATCCATGGCATCATGGACTCTATCAAATACCAAGCGATTTTATATCAAAATCTGGCTGCCTTTGCCAGGAGGCTAAGAGTGGGTTGTGGTTGGATCTTTCAGAAGGACAATGATCCAAAGCACGCCCCCAAATCCACACAGAAATGGTTCACCGACAACAGAATCAAGCTTTTGCAGTGGCCATCCCAGTCTCCTGACCTTAACCCCATCGAAAACCTATGGGGTGAGCTGAAGAGGAGAGTCCACAAGCAAGGACCAAGGACTCTGAAGGATCTGGAGAGATTTTTGTATGGAGTAATGGTCTCAGATCCCTATATATGTGTGTTCTTTTATAAGGATTTGTTCTCCTTTCAATAATTTTACCTCACTGAAAGGTTAGATTTCTCTCATATTTTTGGTGTATAATCAAGCTGATAAACAACAAAGAGATTTTTTCATAGCTTTTTTTGCTCATCTTTACCAAGGGTGCCAATAATTCTGGAGGGCACTGTATATACACAACCATGTATAGGTCTTAGTATTGTGGTTTGGATTGTCACCAAAACTAAATTGCATTTCACTAAATTTTATATATTATTTGAGATGCCTAAAACTCCAGTACTTAGATTTGAAACATTTTGAGAGTTTATTTTACATTACTAAGCCCATTTTCTACTATGTAGTATTAAATGCGCAACTGTAAGTACTTGCAAAAATTCTGATCAAGGACTTAGTTAAATGAAGGCTTCAGTTAGGTAATTTAACTTGGCTGGAATGAATGTCAACAGGTGTTTAGTTCTGCAGGATAAGAATCGGGACCCCTATCCTGTTGAACTACCCTTATTTTCATAATGCATTTAATGCATTGGTTTTAGATTTGAAACATTTTGAGAGTTTATTTTACATTACTAAGCCCATTTTCTACTATGTAGTATTAAATGCGCAACTGTAAGTACTTGCAAAAATTCTGATCAAGGACTTAGTTAAATGAAGGCTTCAGTTAGGTAATTTAACTTGGCTGGAATGAATGTCAACAGGTGTTTAGTTCTGCAGGATAAGAATCGGGACCCCTATCCTGTTGAACTACCCTTATTTTCATAATGCATTTAATGCATTGGTTTTTGTTTGCTACCTACCATTTTCTTGATTTTTAGTAAATTGTAAATCAATTTATGGTTCAATTAACTGGCCTCAAAATCCAGTGCTGTTAATTGAGATTCCATACGTAAAAATGAAATACTCCCATGTGCACTCAATCGACGGATCTATCCAAATATTATTTTCAAAGACTGTTCTGCATTCTAACCCATTATTAACATATATATATATAATGTAATGAATGCTAAAGTGAGTTTTGAACACATTATGATATCTTTTGTCTGCTTATTTTGGTGGTAACTTGTGTGGGTTATTAGATTACAAAAAGGAGAAAGTAGAACTTTCACGTGGCCTGCTGAACTGAGATACATGTCATTGCTTGTGGTCTGAACATGACATCTATGTGAAACAGAAATAAGATGATTTTACTGTTGCAGCTAATATGATGTGGTTGTTGGTAGTATATAAAGAATATTTTGCACTTATTGTGTTTATTGGAGTGAAGCATTTTTAGCTCTCTTACAGGTATTATCAGGCTAAACTGTTAGACACATCTGTTTACTATAGCTCCTAGCTTCAAGTCTAGTAAGCATAGCATACAACCAACAAAACTTGCAAGGTTGGTCATTTAAAAGGTTTAGTTGCAATTGAAAGCAGAGCAGAGTACTTATTTAGCACTTAAGGTATATTGAGCAGTTAAAGAGAATTTAATGGAAAACTTTGTGAACCTTATGACAGTGGTTCAGAATCCAAAAAATTAACCCTGATCATGCTCAGTGAGGAAACTGCTGTGGAGACTGAATACATTTCAGACAGTAAAAAAGATGTGGAGAGATTTGGGGCTTTGAAACAAATTACCAAAGTCCTTTGTAAAAAATCATTTGTACCATTACAAGAGCTTTAAGCAGTTGTGTGAATGGGTGCTTTAAGATTTTGTTTTTACGTGGATAAGACCTTTTAAAAAAGGATGATAAACCCTAGAGACATTTTCTGTAGTGACGTGCAAAGGTGTCTTACAGTTAATTAGGTGACTCTGATCAGAACCAATATATTCATACATCAATACCAGATAATTTTCTCTCGCCATTACAGAGGATAATTTACCACCCTGAATGGGGAGCTGTGTTTCAAAGAAACAAGACAGTGTTTATTCAGAGTTTTAATCATTTGATTTTTTTAGTTCTAGAGTACTAAACTAGAGAACTAGTTTGTAGATCTGCAGTTTATCTAATTAATCTTTTTCTCTGATTCAAGTCTCTGAATAATTCTCTGCTAAAGTGATTACATTGGAAAACTGAGTTAAAAGGAGTACTGAATGAGGGTTTCATGCCTACTAGATATGATCATTTGTTTTTATTAACATGAACTCATTTGTATAGTGTGTATGAACTGTGTCCACGTATTGTGACTTAAGCTGAAGAATAGATTTTTTTTAAACCAGCAGTTTGCTAATTGTAGTCAGCACGAATACAAGCAATGATCTCACAATCTGACTATTCAGTTAAACATAAACCAGAACTGATTATCTGTAGAAAATAGCATTAAGCATGCCCAAATACAACAGTAATACACATTGTTGTGAGCATGACCACAGGTAATTTCATAGTATTTGATTTTTTTGGAAATAAATCAAAATCAACAAAAACCCTAAAACCATTTTTTTTATTAGTTGAAACAAAACATTTATTTATTAAAGTAAATTAT